TATATGTATATACATACACAGATTGAGTGCTTCCTACGTCCCACACTTTACGGTTGAGCTTCGTGTGCTGTGCCAAACTAGACGATCCATGTCTCGCTTGCTGGGTTTTGAGAGGTAGATGGCCTCCAGATCCTTCGGGGCTCGATGGACCACATCGTCGACTCCCGCTACAAGGAGGGCATCGGTGTCCTACACCCGAAACCCTGAACCCTATCAACCCCAAACCCTTTAAACCCCAAACCCGAAACCGTTCTGCACCGTCCGTCAGAGCCACGTGGTTGATCGCCGCAAGGACCCGTGGAAAGCTCTGTCTTTCTCCAAGATGATGTGGTGGGTGGACCTGTCGCTGCTGACCTGCGTGACGGGCCCTAGTCGTAGCAGTCCCGTCCCAGCTTTCACGGCCCATGTGCAGCGAATGCCCAGGCTCTGTTTTACATCGACATCGTGTTGGACATCAAGCAACTTGCTCTGTTCTATGGCAGTGGCCTCCACGGATACCTCCTCCTGAACATGATGGGGATAGCCATGCCCATCATTTTCACCACCTGGGACGCGATCAGGTTCGTGGGCACCCGGTCAGCGGACCTCGATGCGATGACTTTCTGGATCCCTCCGGGCATCCTTTTGCCGCTCTTGGTCATCGCAACGATCTCCCAGACTTTGATGCTTCTGCTGGCTTTGGTCTCGGCCGCCACCGGCAAGCCGCCCGGCTCAACGAAGCTTTCTGCAGCTTTCTGCAGCTTTGCACCGTTGCAAGACCCAGGAAGCAGCCGCTGCTCTCGGGAGCCAAGTTCGCCGAGGCGTCGGATAGCTGATATATTTCGTAGGGTATGCAGCGGCATGCCTGGTCTGCTGCACCGGCAGGTGGCCGAGTCTGCGACATCGGCGCTTGTACAGACAAACTTTCTGATCTCTGGCCTGGGGGGCGTTTCACAGATTCAAGCGCTGGAGTTATCGGAAGAGCAGCTGCAAAGCATGCAGCTGTCAGTAGCGGTGTCCTGTTTGTCCCTTGGCCTGGGTTTCGCCAGCCGCGATAAGGCGGACTCGGCAGTGCTTGGCCTTCCCGGGAAGCTCGGGTGGGACGCGACGATGGCAGCCCTCGTCCTCACGAGATCCATGGAGGTGTCTAGCAGAGTCTTTGCGTATAACATCCTACAAGTCTCCGTGAGGGGATGGCCGCTGCTGCGTTTCGGTAGCGTCGTAGCAGTAGGCCTGGTGCTGGTGTCAGCCCGACTCCTCTTCCCCGACGCCTCCCTGGCAGATGTGGCAGCTCCTTGACAGGGCATGGCAGGGCTCAGGGCATGGCGGGGCTGGCAGTTTGGCTCTGCGCCTGGAGGCTTCCACCATCGCCCATCCGGGGCAAATCTTGGCTGCTGCCTCTTCAGCTCCCTGGCGTCCATGTACGGCCATGTGTGGTGAAGCCACACACTGCGTGCACGGCCTGGTGCTTTCAGAGACTGCGGTGATGAGGCATTCGCTTTGCCTCCACGGCCTTCTCGTCGCAGCTGCTGGTGCATCTCAGCTCCTCCTACATACCAGCGCAGCTCCAGATGCATCGAAGGCCACCCCCATTGCACGTGTCGTTGTTGAGGGGCAACACTTCTGCGATTGTGAGCATGGCTTTGTGCCCTGCAGATGCTGCCCAGCTCGCTGCTGATTGCCTGGCTGGTGTCCAGCTCAGTTCAGCTTCAACTAGCTGATGCGCGCGCGCATGTGGCGCAAGCGCATGCCGTCTTTTCAGAGTCACCCCTAGCCATGTGTGAGGCTGGTATATCCAGTGTGCTAGGCACGCTTCACTTGGCACGAAGGGAGCCGGTCTTTCATAAGAGATGGGGAGGGGTGCAAATGGGCTGCAGCACCGAACGGGAGAGGTCAAGCGCCCGATGTCCTTGGAGAGTTCTGTGATGAAACTGGCTCATGTGTTTTTTAGTTGCTGAGTCTTGAGTATTCCCTTATGGCTTGGTTCCATGATTCGCACTTCCGGCCAGTCCCAAACGCAGCGTCTGCTTCTTGCAGCCAGGCACCTGCAAGAGATAGGATTATGTAGGAGCCCTTTGATGTGGTGGTTTCAAAAATCAAAGTCAACAAAGTCGTGCTGCACATCTCTCATGCCGCACTCCTCAGTCAGAAATAGGCCCAGATCAACAGTTCTCTCTCTTGTGGGGTTGTTAGATTTAAAAGTCAACTATTGCTCGCGCCGGCTCCTCGTCCGCTCCTCGCCCGCTGAGACTACCTCCAGAGACTGCCTGGAGACTACCGTGAGACTCCCTGGAGCCCAACCCCACAGACTACCGTGAGACTGCCTGGAGTGCCCAAATCAAGAGACTAGCGTGAGACTCCCTCGAATGCCCCAGAGACCAGAGAGACACCCTGGAGTGCCCAACCCCAAAGACTGCCGTGAGACTTTCTGGAGTGCCCAACCCGGGGACCCCAGGACCTCATCGTCAGTCAGCGGTGTGCCCGCATGGATCGTCGACTGACCTGAGTCGAACACGTGTTTTGTTACGTGTACGGTGACCCCACGAGGAAAAACTTTTCGCAAGAGTTGCTCACCGTAGATATTCCCAAGTTAAATGTTGTTTCGGTGTTCGTCAATAGCTCTGACATCCGAATTTGCCAAGGGAGAGGGCGCGTGCCTTCGTATGAAATCGTGCGAGACACCTCCAGCTCTTCAAAATTCTAGCTTTGCAGTGCCATCCACACCCCATCTGAAGGTGCATCGACACCCTTTTGGAAGCTAACGTCTTAGGTTGGGCACCTGAATCAGACGTGTGAGGGCTGCAGCAACGACGGTGCTGAGGCCGTGAGCATCGCGAGCTGGGCGGCGCTGGTGTTGCTCCGTGGCCCTGACTGCAAGTGAGGGCACCAATTTGCCCTGGGAAAAGTTTTTTCAGAAGCTGCAAGTGGCACGTGCGTCACATGAGGCATGCTCGGCACAGATGTGGACCAGCCACGCTTTGTCGCCTTGGCATCAGCAGGCGGCTGCCAGCAGCAAAGAGAGCTCGCACACGCACGCGTTCACGCACACGCATGATCCGCAGCATCCGCTCTGCAGGCGACTGCTCGATCCCCTTCTCGACCTTAGCACCGGCCTTCGGCAGCTCGGGCCAGGCGTGGAACACACGAAGCAAGCTCCGCCGGCGCAGCGCATCGCAGTGCTTGCTGTCGGCAGGTTCCCAAGGCCGTCTTCAAGGCGATGAAAGAGAAGCACATCGTGAAGTTGGACACGAAAGCTGCGGTGCCATGGCCGGAGTTTCTGTAGGGTTCTCCCTCTCCCGCAAGGTGTCTGGGGCCCAAAAAATGCGCAGGTGCAGGGGCTCGACGAGAAGACTCTGCGCTTGATTTTAAACTCCGGAGTGGACGTCCAGCTTGCGCCCATCGCCCTTGACGAAAGCGGGCTTAGCCTGGTTGGACTCGTTGAGTGCCTGGCCGCCTCAACCCCGGAGTCCCTGCAGCTTCATGGCTTTGGCGACATTGCGGGCGTCCCCTGGCAGCTCCTTGGCGGCGCCCACTGGCCACAGCTCAAGAAAGCCGACTTCGCTGAGCACCTCGGAGGGCACACTTGGAGCTGCTCTTCTTTTTTCGGATTCATACGGTACCCCGCTGCTCCTCTCCTCCGAACGGGTCCAGGTGTTTCGCAAAGAACGGCGAGGGCGCTGTGGGTCTTTTCGGGGCCTTGGCCCGCTGCCGGGAGCTACAGGAGCAACACTGGGTGCTCTGAGCTGCTCTGGACTCGAAGGTATCGTGTAGTAGAGATGTTGTGCAAGCCCCGCCATAAAAGTAAAACACCAAAGCCTTCTTTTCGGAGCAGGCATGCCAAGCATTTTGCATATGTTACCAAGTATGAGTGCTGTAGTAGTGTGCCGTAGTATGGTCCATGGTATGTGGTATACGAAAGTGATGGTATGTAGCGGTAGGGTAGCTTCATTCACTTGACAGAGGCGTGCCTCCAAGAGCATATCTCGTCGGCGCTTAGCTTGTAGGTGAAAGTAGGTAGGTTTTCTAACCTTGAGCTGATGATGTTGGATCCTTTGCAGCTAACAACGGGCCGTCATCTCTCTTTTTGCGGCTTGGGGTGATGCGGCCTGAGAGGAAGGGGCCAGGGACTACAACTCGCATACGGCGCTCCTCCGAATCACTGCATCACTGAACGGAAGGGCTTGTTTGCCCACAAAAAGGCCCCCACAACCCCAAACAGCCTCCTGAGCTTCCCCCAGCCCGAAAGCGTCCGCCTGTACCCCCTTCCGCCAGAATCCTGCCCTGCCATTCTGCGACCTTCCCGAGAAGGCAGCCCCACAATAAGCACCGCGAAGCGCCAGGAGCTCAACATGGGCTATTGCCAAAAAGTCCCGGCGGCGGCCTGGCGGCTGTTCGCAAAAGCCGAGTGGCCGACATTGAAAAAGGCCGACTTCGATACGCGCCTCGGACAGGGGGCCAAGCTCGCTGTTGCTCTTTGCCTTTTCGTTTCTTTTTCTGCTGCGGGCCTCATCTCCTCTCTCATCCGTGCCCGGGGGCGCAGGTGTTTCGCAGGGAACGGCGAGGGGGCAGAAGAGCTGCTGGGCGCCTTGGGCCGCTGCCGGGAGCTCGAGGACGCGGCAGAAGGGGTGTTCGTTTTCCTGAAAGCAGAGAGTCCGCAGCCTCCTTTTCAGAAAACGCATGGTTAATGGCGGGTGAAGTCGCCGAAGCGGAGACTGCAGTAAGCGGGAGGCCTTTCCATTTTGCGGGATATTTTGCAGTGCCTAAATTGGCTCCGGTCACCTCTGCTTCTGGGCTCGTCATCTCGTGTAGAGACTGGTCTTGTGGAGTATAGTGTCAGTGTATACACAGTGTACACGCAGGCATGGTACCGGTGCAGTATATATAGATAGTGATATGTATACAGTGATGTCTGCGTACGGGACCAGTCTGCAGAAGCGTGATACAACAAAACGATAAGACGGGCTGCCCGACAAGCGCGGTGATGTAGTGGTCGCATGGTAGAGTGTTGTGTACTATATATAGTGCATAATAGTAGCATGGATGGCTTCCTCGCAGTCGCAATGACATCTCTGCATGTAAGTGTCTTTGCCCTTGAGCTTTCAG